GGCTGCGGCGTCCTGCAAGACGAATGGCAGCGTCATTGCTGCGTGGCTGCATACACCACTACTGGTGTTGTTGCTGATGGGGGCGCTGACCCTAGGTTCTGTGTGATGCGTGGTGAGAGTGCTGGTTGTTGCTTTCTTACGTAAATGCTTGCACCCATGGGAACTAAATACTGAACGTTAATGAATGTTTTCTTTTATTTTCATTGCTGCCCCGTTGTGGGCGTAACGCCGACCCACTTGGCGTCGACGACACGCACTGTGGGAAGAGGAGGCGTGGTTTTTTCCTATTCTTTTTCTTGCTTGGGCTTTGCTTTGGGCGCTGCTGTGCGCCGCCCACTAACTGTTTCTCCTGCTGGGGGATACTCTTTTTATCTTCGTGTGTGGTGCGTCCTTCGCTCCGCCCCTCCCGCCGTGTCTGCGCCACTCACAGCGGGACACACGTAAAGGGACGTGAGGGCCAGCAGTACAATTGCGTCCGCGTGCGCTGCTGCTGCCTCGTTGTTCCCTCTTTGTTTTGGGTCCTTGTGGGTGTGGACTCCAGCGGAGTGTGTGCGCCTCTTCCGCCGTCCAGTTCTCTTTTCTCTAATGGGTTTCTTTTCATCATGGTTGATGCCGCCTGTGTTGTGCCTGCTGCTCCCTTCCGCTCCGTGTGTGTGTATGTTGGGGCTGTCTGCTGTGCAGCGTTTCTCTTTTCTCCCCCCATGCAGACCCCAGCTGTTTAAGTGTTATTGAATGATGGCGACAGTGTGCCGCGCTGTGTGTGTGTTGGCCGCTGCTCTGTGCTGCACGGCCTTCTGCGTGACGGCTGCTGCTGCTGCTGATACTGCTGCTGCGCCTTCCACAGGTGTTGTGGCTGCTGTGTCTGACGTGTCGGCGAAGGAGACAGACGTCAGCGCAAAGAAGAAGGTCGTGGATGCCGCAAGTAAAGCGGGGGATGCAGCAATTTCTTTTAAAGCTGCACTGCGTGATGTGCAGACTGCACAGGTGGGGGCGAAGAAGGCAGCGGAGGACGCAAGGGGTATTCTGACGGGAGGCGCCAAAGAGGCAGCGAGGCTTGGCAAGCAGGCTTTGGTCAAAACGATTGCTGCTGTAACGTTGCTGAAGGATCTTGTACCTGCTGATTCGACGCCTTCGGTTTTGGAGCCGTCACAGAAGGAGGAAAAGGCAACGGAGGCACAGAAGTCCGCTAAAGAGGCCACGGAACTTGCTGAATGGGCTGTAACGAACGCTACGAAGGCAGTGATGGACTCTGACATTCTCGTTAAACAGGTGGAGACAGAGGAACAGAAAGTGAAGGCAGCCATGGGGAAAGCTAAGGAAGCGGCGGCGAGTATACCGGGAGAGGCGCAGAAAGTTGTGGCTGCGGTTGAAGGTGCCAATAAAAAAGTGACGACGGCAAGTGCTGCTGTGGATACATACATCAAAAAGCTTGAAGGTAAAAATAGAGCAGTAAAGGATATTCTTAATGGAATGAAAACAGAACTTAGTGCAGCAAAAAAAGCGGAAGAATTGGCCACGACGGCTAAATTGAGTGAGAAGAAAGAGGTTATAGGAACTGAACACAAAGCGCTCGAACAGGCTCGTGATGGGATGGAAACTGCCTTGAAAGGATTGGAAACAAAGACAGAGGCGATATTTCTGTCGACTCAGGAAACCGAAAACGAAGCTAACGAGCCTATGGCCCTCCTGCAGGCTGCAATAAAGCATGCCGATAAAGCAGTAGAGTTGGCTAACGCTGAGAAATCAACCGCTGAAGCGGCGTTGCTGCAAGCCAACAAGGAGCTGGAAGCCGCTAAGAAGAAACAGAAGGAAATGGAAAAGCAGGGTCAGGAGAAACCAACAGAGGAGATTCTGGAAAACGAAGTGAGTGAAAGGGACGGAGAGAAAGGACTCAACCGTCCCCATCAACCCGACACCACTGATGGCACTACGACTCCTCCTGCTGGTGCGTTGTTGCCTAAGACCGATGGCACTGCGGATGGCGAGACGCCTCTTGCTCAGCACACAGATGGCAGCAGTGCTGCTTGGGTGCGTGCCCTACTGATGCTGCTGCTGGCCTGTGTGGCTGTGTGATAAGACTTCTGTGTGTGTGTCTCTGTGTGTTCATGGGACGATGATGCTCCCACCGTAATTGCGTTGAGTGCTGAGGACTGCACTCCTGATTGTTAAGATTCTTCTGTTTTCGTTTCATTGCTGCCCCGTTGTGGGCGTAACGCCGACCCACTTGCCCCTGACGACACGCACTGTGGGAAGAGGAGGCGTGATTTCTTTTCGTTTCTTGCTTGGGCTTTGCTTTGCGCGCTGCTGTGCGCCGCCCACTAACTGTTTCTCCTGCTGGGGGATACTCTTTTTATCTTTGTGTGTGTGTGTGTGTGTGTGAGTCTGGTGCGCCTGCTGCTCCCTTCCGCTCCGTGTGTGTGTGTTGGGACCGCCTGCTCTGCATCGTTTCTCTTTTCTCCTCCCTGCAGACCCCAGCTGCTCAAGCGATATTGAATGATGGCGACAGTGCGCCGCGTTGTGTGTGTGTTGGCCGCTGCTCTGTGCTGCACGGCCTTGTGCGTCTCTGCTGCTGCTGATACTTCCGCTGGCCATCCCACAGTTGGTGCGTCTGATGTGTCGGCGAAGCAGACAGACGTCACTGCAAAGACGGAGGCCGTGGAAGCAGCAAGGAAAGCGGAGGAAGCAGCAATTTCTTTTAAAGATGCACTGAGAGAAGCGGAGAAGGCACAGAAGTCGGCCAAGAAGGCGGCCAAGAAGGTAGCAGAGGAAGTACGGGGTAAACTGAAGGAAGGCGCAAGGAAGGCATCAGGGCTTGGGTACAGGTCTTGGCGGAAAACGTCAGATGCTGTAACGTTGCTGAAGGATCTTGTACCTGCTGATTCGACGACTTCGGTTGTAGAGCCGTCAAAGAAGGAGGAAAAGGCAAAGGGTGCACAGAAGGACGCTCAAGAAGCAACGGAACTTGCTGAATGGGCTGTAACGAACGCTACCAAGGCAGTGACGAACGCTGAGTCTCGGCTGAAAGAGGTGAATACAGAGGAGCAGAAAGTGAAGGCAGCCATGGAGAAAGCTAAGGAAGCGGCGGGGAGTATACCGAAGGAGGCGAAGAAAGTTGTGGCTGCGATTGAAAAAAGTAAAGAAGAGGCTATCAAAGCAAGTGGTGCGGATATGTACCTCAAGAAGCTAAACGATGGAAACAAGGCAGTGAAGGATATTCTTGATGCGATGAACGCCACACTTATTGCAGCAAAGAAGGCGGAGGAGCTGGCCAAGAATGCTCTATCCGATGCAACGAAAGGAGTTAAAGATGCTGAACACAAACTGCTCGTAAGTCTTACTAGTGATGGGCTGGAGGCTGCCTTAAAAGGAGTGGAAAAAAAAATAGAGGCACTATTCCCATCTATTGTTGAAACTGAAGAAGAAGCCAAAGAGCCTGTGACCCTCCTGGAGAATGCCATATCAGATGCGGAGAGTGTTGTAGAGCTGGCTAAAGCTGAGAAATTAGCAGCTGAAGCGGCGTTGCGGCTAGCGAGGCAGGCGCTGGCAGCCGCTGAGAAGATACAGCAGGATCTTGTAAAGCAGCAACAGCAAGCCAGGGAGGAGCTGGAAGCCGCTAAGGGTAAAGAAAAGGAGAGAGAGAAGCAGGGAGATACGAACGACAATCAGGAGAAAACAAAACAGGGAATTCTGGAAAGCGAAGTGAGTGAAAGGGACGAACAGGAAGGACTCAACCGTCCTCAGCTACCCGACACCACTGATGCCGCTACGACTCCTCCTGCTGGTGCGTTGTTGCCTAAGACCGATGGTACTGCGGATGGCGAGAAGCTTCTTGCTCAGCACACAGATGGCAGCGA